ACTGCACCCTAGGCCATCGAGAGACCTATTGCACTCCTAAGCCATCGAGAAACCTATTGCACCCTATGCCATCGAGAGACCTTTTGCACTCCTAAACTATCGAGAGACCTATTGCACCCTATGCTATCGAGAGACCTATTGCACTCCTAAACTATCGAGAGACCTATTGCACCCCTAGGCCATCGACAGACCTATTGCACTTCTAGACCATCGACAGGCCTATTGCACCCTAGGCCATCGACAGACCTATTGCACTCCTAAGCCATCGAGAGACCTATTGCACCCTAGGCCATCGAGAGACCTATTCCACTCCTGGGTAATCGAGAGACCTATTGCACCCTAGGCCATTCAGAGACCTATTGCACTCCTAGGCCAACGAGAGACCTATTGCACCCTAGGTCATCGACAGACCTATTGCACTCCTAAGCCATCGAGAGACCTATTGCCCCTCGGCCCGAGAGACCTATTGCACTCCTGGCCTCGAGATCCTATTGGTCCCGGCTATTAGAGACCCCACCGCTAGGCCATCGAGAGACCTATTGCAAAGTTTCTTTCACCCTATTGCCCCTGTTACCTAGCAGTAAAATAGGTACCTGGGACCTATTGCAGCTAGGTCACGAGGCTGCTTCCTGGGGGTGGACTGGCCTATCGAGAGACCGATTGCACCCTAGGCCATCGGGGACCTACTACCCTAGGCCATCGAAGATCTATTGCACCCCTAGATCCATCGATAGACCTATTGCACCCCTAGGCCATCGAGAGACCTAATACACCCTAGGTCATCGAAAGACCAATTGAACTCCTAGGCCATCGACAGACCTATTGCACTCCTAGGCCATCGAGAGACCTATTTGCGAGAGACCTATTGCACCCTAGGCCATCTATTTCACTCCGAGGCCATCGAGAGACCTATTGCACTCCGCCTCGAGTAACCTATTCGATCGAGACCTATTGCACTCCTAGGCCATCGACAGACCTATTGCACCCTAGGCCATCGAGAGACCTATTTCACCCCTAGGCCACCGACAGAACTATTGACCACTAGCCCATCGAGAGACCTATTGCACCCCTAGGCCATCGGCATACCTATTGCACACTTAGGCAATCGACAGACTTTTTGCACTCCGAGGCCATCAACAGATCTGTTGCACTCCTAGGCCATCGACATACCTGTTGCACCCTAGGCCATCGAGAGACCTATTGCACCCCTAGGCCATCGAGAGACCTATTGCACTTCTAGGCCATCGAGAGACCTATTGTACCTTAGGCCATATAGACTATTGCACTCCTAATACCTATTGCACCCTAGGCCATCGAGAGACCTATTGCACCCCTAGGCCATCGAGAGACCTATTGCACTTCTAGGCCATCGAGAGACCTATTGCACCTTATGCCATCGAGAGACCTATTGCACTCCAAGCCCATCGAGAGACCTATTACACCTTAGGCCATCGACAGACCCATTGCTCTCCTAGGCCATCGATAGACCTATTGCACCCTAGGCCATTGAGAGACCTATTGCACTCCTAGGCAATCGAGAAACCTATTGAACCTTAGGCCATCTAGGGACCTATTGCACTCCTAGGCCATCGAGAGACCTATTGCACCCTAGCCCATCGATTGACCTATTGCACCACAGGCCATCGACAAACCTATTGCACTTCTAGACCATTGAGTGACCTATTGAAGCCTAGGCCATCGAGAGACCTATTGCACCATAGGCCATGGAGAGACCTATTGCACCTCTAGGCCATCGAGAGACCTAATACACCCTAGGCCACCAAGAGACCTATTCCAATCCTAGGCCATCGACAGACCTATTGCACCCTAGGCCATCGAGAGACCTATTGCACCCCTAGGCCACCGAGAGACCTATTGAACCCCTAAGCTATCGAGAAACCTATTGACCCCTAGGCCATCGAGAGACCTATTGCACCCTTAGGCCATCGACAGACATATTGCACTCTTAGGCCATCGACAGACCTATTGCACTGTTAGGCCATCGAGAGACCTATTGCACCCTAGGCCATCAAAAGACCTATTGCACTCCTAGGCCATCGAGAGACCTATTGCACCCTAGACCATTTGAGAGACCTATTTCACTCCTAGGCCATCGAGAGACCTATTGCACCCTAGGCCATCGATAGACCTATTTCACCCTAGGCCATCGACAGACCTATTGCACCCCTAAGCCATCGAAAAACTTATTTCACTCCGAGGCAATGGACAGATCTATTGCACTCCTAGGCCTTCGAGTAACCTATTGCACTCCTAGGCTATCGAGACACCTATTGCACTCCTAGGCCATCGACTGACTTTATGCACTCCGAAGCCATCGAGTGACCTATTGCACTCCTAGGCTATCGAGTGACCTATTGCATCCTAGGCCATCAAGAGACATATTGCACTCTTAGGCCATCGACTCACTTTATGCACTCCGAGGCCATCGAGTGACCTATTGCACCCCAAGGCTATCGAGAGACCTATTGCACTCTTAGCCCATCGACAGACTTATTGCACTCCGAGGCCATCGACAGACCTATTGCTAGGCCATCCTGCACTCCGAGGCCATCGAGAGACCTATTGCACCTATTGCCATACCTATTGCACCTAGCCCATCGACAGACTTATTGCACTAGAGACCTATTGCACTCCTAGGCCACCGACATACCTATTGCACCCTAGGCCATCGAGAGACCTATTGCACCCTACTCCTTGGCCATCGATAGACCTATTGCACTCCTAGGCCATCGAGAGACCTATTGTACCCTAGCCCATCGATAGACCTATTGCACCATATGTCATCGACAGACCTATTGCACTCCTAAGCCATCGAGAGACCTTTTGAACCCTAGGCCATCGAGAGACCTATTGCACTCCTAGGCAATCGAGAGACCTATTGCACCCAAGGCCATTGAGAGACCTATTGCACTCGTTGGCCATCGAGAGACCTATTGCACCCTACGCCATCGACAGACCTATTGCTCCCTAGGCCATCGACAGACCTATTGCATCCCTATGCCATCGAGAGACCTAATACACCCTAAGCCACCGACAGACCTATTGCACCTCTTGGCCATCGAGAGACCTAATACAACCTTGGCCATCGACAGACCTATTGCACTTTAGGCCATCGCGAGCCCTATTGCACCCCTAGGCCCTCCAGAGACCTTTTGACCCCTAGGCCATCGACACACCTATTGCACCCTAGGCCACCGAGAGATCTATTGCACCCTAGGCGATCGAGAGACCTATTGCACCCTAGGCGATCGAGAGACCTATTGCACCCTAGGCGATCGAGAGACCTATTGCACTCCTAGGCCATCGACAGAGATCTATTGCAATTGCACTAGGCCATCGACAGACCTATTGCACCCTAGGCCATCGAGAGACCTATTGCACGCTTGGTAATCGCTTTACCATTTGAAACCTTGGCCATCGAGAGACCTATTGCACCCCTAGGATATCGACAGCCCTTTGTACCCCTGGGCCATCGACAGACCTATTCCACGCTTAGGTAATCGACAGACCTATTGCACTCCTAGGCCATCGACAGACCTATTGCACTCTTAGGCCATTGAGAGGTCTATTGCACCCTAGGCCATCATGAGACCTATTGCACTCCTAGGTCATCGACAGACCTATTTGCACTCCTAGGCTATCGACAGACCTATTGAACCCTTGGCCATCGATAGACCTATTGCACCTAGGCCATTGATCTATTGGACCCTAGGCTATCGACAGACCTATTGAACCCTTGGCTATCGATAGACCTATTGCATCCTAGGCCATCGACTGATCTATTGCACCCTAGGCCATCGAGAGACCTATTGCACCCTAAGCAATCGACAGATCTATTGCACCCTAGGCCATCGAGAGACCTATTGCACCCTAGGCTATCGAGAGACCTATTGCACTCCTAGGCCATCGACAGACCTATTGCACCCTAGGCCATCGAGAGAACTATTGCACTCTTAGGCCATCAACAGACCTATTGCTCTCCTAGGCCATCCACAGACCTATTGCACCCTAGGCCATCGACAGACGTATTGCACTCCTAGGCCATCGACAGACCTATTGCACCCTAGGCCATCGATAGACTTATTGCATTCCTAGGCCATCAACAGACCTATTGCACCCTAGGCCATCGATAGACTTATTGCATTCATAGGCCATCGACAGACCTATTGCACTCTTATGTCTTCGACAGACCTATTGCACTCCGAGGCCAACGACAGACCTATTGCACCCCTAGGCTATCGAGAGACCTATTGCACCCTAGGCAATCGAGAGACCTATTGCCGTATGGCTTCCACAGGAGTTGACATCCCAGGTAAATTTTATTGTTAAGTGAACAATGGCATCAGGTGTGAGGAAAATTTCCTATTGAAAACTATATATATGTTTATTTTCTTGATGATGTAAATAATATTATAAACCCCACCGCATATTTACACTAAGTGCTCTATATATGTACACATAAGGGTTACATGCATGTAGAAAATCTGTAGGAGTTTTGAAGGAGGACTCGAACCTACATACTTGGTATTCCAAATTCAGATTTTCTCATTCATACATCACGCTAATGCGATTTCTTTGTAATTTGAATGTGACGCACGAGTGTGAACGCCAGTACCATAGGCAAGAGTGTGGTCGGGTCGACTGTAAAACCCTGGTTGGGCTCCAGTTGGTGCCCAGAACCTGCCAGTGAATTCAGCAGAGTTTCGGGTTGGTCGACATTTATAGAATCGTGGCAGAGTCGGTTAAGGCAGGTGTCTGCGAACCACCAGAATGCGAGTTCAATTCACTCAATTGTCTCAAAATTATTTTATTTAAGATTAAACAATGCATATTGTTTGATTATGTTATCACGAAAACGGGCTGTAAAATCAATGAATGAATAATCCTCTCAGCCCTGAGAGGATTATTCATATTGAAAATTAATATTAAGTTGTATATAGTCAACTGTTTTAATGCATATTTTCCATCTTTCATTACAGATATTGAAATGGATTCAGAGTTTACCATGGAATTGAAGATGTTAGAAACGTCTGTTATTCAAAACTTTAGGCACCTTTGTGATTCTGAACTAAATCTCCTTCAATTCCAAGTTCAGGTCCTAAAAAAAGCAAACTCAGTGCTTAAACAAGATAATGAATATTCAAGATATATACTGGAAAAAGTCAGATTTGTTGTGCATCAAGTCTTCAGGCAGCAATTCCGCATTTCATCACAAAGAGTGGAAGAAGTTACTTGTGAACTTCAGCGCCTCTCAGTTTTGCCCGCCTTCTGGAAGCTGACTGAGAAATATGCTGGGTGTCGAAATGTGGCCTTAATGAATATATACAGAGAATTATCAGGGCTGCTGAGTACGACAGTTAAGTTTGACAAAAAAAGAGAAAGTAGAGCAAGAAACCTCTTGAAAGAGAGTCAAAAATTCGTTGGTGGACTTGGAATCAGCAATGAAGAGAGATTGGAGATACTCAGTGCTATGGGGTTCAAGCAAGGCCATTGGTACAAGTGTCCGAATGGTCACATATATTGCATATCTGAATGTGGAGGAGCTATGGTACAGAGTAAATGTCCTGAATGTGATGCAACCATTGGCGGTGAAAGGCATCAACTTAGAGGTGACAATGCCGTTGCTTCAGAAATGGATGGTGCCCTTTACAGTGCATGGTCAGAACAAAATAACATGGCAAATTATGATGTTGCTGACTTTGTCTAGTTTCTAGGATGACTTACATAAATTTGTACTTTTAATATAAATGATTTGCTCTGAGGTATATTATATTTTATGATTTGGTGTTGTTTTCAGATAATGTAGCTAAACAGTTGTGAATGTTCTGTGTGGTAATGAGACGTGATAATGGCTATGGTAGATTTATAATACAATACCTGCGATGTTACTATGTGTCGGTCTCTCTGTTGTAATCTTTTCTAAGTGTATAACAAATGAATAGTATGAAACCTGCACTGTCACTCTATTTCCTTCTGTTTCAAGCGTATATCAGACAACACGTACAATATATAACAGGTAATTTTTATTCCAAAGGTCTGACAGATGTACGGCCTGCACTGCTAATCGTCATAACATAAAAGCTATTTTATCCACCACAGCTTGTTTAACAATATGGGTCACCCCATTTTCCTTGATGCACCGGACTAGTGACAGGTGATTCAGTGATTCTGTTTAGTAAGGTTTTTTTGGGCACCGATTGCAGCCCAAGGGTTATTATGTTACTAAATGGTTAACACAGCAATCCAAACAACAAACATGTATATCAAGTGTATGTTGATTTTTTTATCATATAAAATATTTACTATATGAAAGTTACAAAAGTAATATATGAAGAGAGAATATTGTAGGAAATTTGGCTCTTGTGAAACAACACCAATTTATACTAAACCCTGCCCACTCACATTTGTGTGTTTATACTCAACCCCACCCAGTCACATATATGTTTATACTCAACCCCACCCACTTTGCAGGAGGATATATGCGTTTATACTTTGCTTGAAACAGTGGAGTGAACCAATGTATGTCGCTAGATACCTACAATTCTACTTAATTAATTTACATACCTATTTTTAAACCAGAATTTACATAATTCATATCAGTATCTGAATTGATTCTATTACTGTATGTAAAATATTGCACAGATCCCATCTGCAGACTCTATCACCCCAATATCCGCCATTATATAATAATACAATGTCATCCAACTCTACACCTCATTGTGAAACAGTGGCATCTCAATGCCGTGTTACTCTAAGCTTTCCTAGACATGGACCCGAAAATAAGCTGACTAACTTCTGAGTACCTACTTACTGCTAGGTGAGCAGCAGAATTAGGCGAAAGGAAATGTGCCCAATCATTTCTGTCTCGCCCGGAATTCGAACCTGGAATTCTCGATTGTGTGTCGAAAACCAACCCGACTGAACAAGCGGGACCCTCCTAAGTGGGTTAAGACGCTATATAATTAATACGCTACGTCTAGGTTAGAGTAAGAACTGAGGCAGCCAGTTCGAGGAATCAATGAGGTTGTTTCCACACCAGTAAGGCATCTTCTGCTTCAATACCTCACAAATATGGCGCACAAAGGGACTCTGTGTCAAACATGATGGAATCTCTTCAGTATACACTGCACAATTAGCATTAGGACGGCAAATACCGGCTTGTCAGATAATTCTCAGCTACTCAGGCAGTTATAAAATCAAGTAATAATAACTCTTTAGTTATTAAAGTCAACAAGTCTGAAGAGTAGTGTGCTTCAGGATTTAGCCAGGATGTCTAGTAATGTTGTCAATGTCTTTGTCAAAGAAGAATTCCAAGCAATCACAGGGGCTTAAATATGTAAGGAAAATTATATGTCTTGTTCACGATGACATGAGAGTTCTGGTAACGGATGTCACCTCAGTGGACCGTTGTGGTGAGACTCACTGAACTGTGTTTGTAGTCAATAGTGAATGTGTGGAGCAGAATCCTTATGACAGTGATGCTACTGCACTATAGTACGAAGGAGCACGGTCCCTAAATGTTAGATAATATCATAAAAATGTGTCTCATCCCGAATGAGGCACATTTGTATGGACAAGGAATACATAAGTAGGTAAGAACAATTCAGGCCAGTACGGTGGAGTAGTAGACAATTTATTTTAATTATTGTCTTGTTCATGGAAGGGGATTATTTTGTTATGGTAAACTTGCAGGTTCGTGTATGGTAGCTATTAAACAACGAGTTCACATCCATTCGAGGACCAGTTGATTGATGGTTCTACAGTTGGTTTGCAGGAGGATAAATCGACAGGAAAGAAGTTTAATTGATTATATGGAGGATTAATCCAGTGGGATCATGGGACATCTTTGTTTCTTTATATGAGTTCATATATATGCATATATGCAACCGAAAACTCACACCAGAAGTGACTCGAACCCATACTGCCAGGAGCACTATGCAACTGGTGTTCGCATTTGTGTTTCTCACGTATGTCCCAAAGAATGAGCTGATTTGATAAAATACTATGCCCAAGATTACTATGATAAACATATGCTCACTGAAATGTAAGCGAACAAACACACTGAACATTCAATGAATGTAATATAAAACAAGTGATATCTCCTGGCAAAAATGAACACACAGGTATACTTTATTTCTTCAACAATCAAAATTTAACCAACTATGTCTCGCATGAAATTCAAAAAGTTCAGTCCTGGGATCACTACTTTCATCATTGTCTGTATATATCAGGAGTTTCACACCTGTTTCTCTGGAGTATACAAATTTAACTCTCCAGGGCACTACCTCATTCTGTTCATCTACATACATATGGTTCACTGTTAACTTCTCATTAGTTCTATAATTCCAAGGTACCCATTCTCTTAATGGTAAATATTTCCTATACACATTCCACTGGCCAGTACTCCTTCTTTCTAGGGTTGTCCCACTCACATGAAGTTGAAAGGATGGGGGTTGGTTTAGGGACTTTGCCTGGGGTACAGAGGTTGATCTGGGCATACCCTGGCAAGAACATCTATTTTTCCCTCTCACTGGATCTTCTTTTGAACATACAACCTCGGCCAATTGCTACTGAAAGTAGAAGATACAGGGTTAAACCACACAGACACATCTGAAGCTTCATTATTAACAACACCAACAACTCAACAAAACTCCTCAGGAGTCCTTTTACATCTGACACAACAGCCATGAACCACGAGGACAAGTGCAAGAACTACCTGTCTGAACTGATTCAGATGACCATCAGTGGTAAACACATAAGTCAGTTGCTTCATAACTTTGTCAGAACGATCAGCGAGAGAAAACAGGATTATTTCTATGCACAGTATCCAAATCACAACTCCAAGAACAAGCTCACATTCTCTAACTGTGAAATTTATTCCAACACACTCCATAATAACCAAGAAAGTAACAAAACCACTCTGAAACCTTGACAACACTTATTATGAACTTCACTGAGAAAGTGACTTCCTCCAGGTGACATCAAACAAACCAACAATAGTGTTAAGGGTCTCATCACTTTGAAGATGAAAAGCAGCTTACCTGGGAATCACCCAAGGACAACCTGTAACCCTTCACACTCATCAAACCAAATAGGCGGGATAACCTTGTCCCACTCCAACTTAAAGCACATCTTTGACCTTGAACACCAGCTCCAAAGTCTAACAAAATCCTCCAACATCATTTTGACTCTGAATGTCAAGACAACACTTGATATGAACAAACATTTTGTTAACTACTCTTGCAGTAAGATAGTGTACTAGATATAAAAGTAGAGACACTGCTCTAGAGCTCCACACAACTGTCTCAGGACAACTGGGTGTACAACTTATTGGAGTAAACTCTGTCTGTTCAACAACAGTGCTGGACAAAGATGTCCCACAGTCCATTACTACAAAGGAGAATGGCTCCTGTGGAACAACAATAGATTGCAAAAAAGCCCTAAGAACACTCTGACTCAATTTACCCAATTATAAATGCTTTCTCCCCATGGAATAAGAATAACTGGCCACAACACTCTGTAACTTAGGCCTATAATAAATGTTACCACTATTAATAGTCACACAAGATTTAACAAACTTTCCTCCCAGGACATAATCTGAAGGTGTTGGAGTACTGTCTGTTTACAATCAATAATTCTACAAAGCTGGGTCACATCCTCACAAACAACTGAAGAGGGAGACTCAAAGGTACTCCATCACTCTATCTACTTATCAGAAGCTGATCCACTAGTTGCTCTCCCACACTCTCCAACAATGTATCTACAGCACAGTCTCCTTACTACTCTCTGATATCTCTGGGTCAGTTCTACTTAACTTGCACAAAATCAAGGACTCAGAATCTGGAGCGAACGGGCAAGTAACAGGCAATTTGGCCTCCTCCCCCATCACCTTCCACTAGTCTAGGGCAAGGCGGGGCCTTTGCAACTGGTTCACTCTCGATAACTGATTCAAACTCGGGAGCGAGAGGGCAAGCCTCTGTCAACCTGACATTCTTTCCCAAACTATTCCCTTGGTTTGGATAAAATGGAGTCGTGGCAACAACTGACTTACTCTTGACTCCTGATCAACGTTTGTAGTGAGTGGGCAAGACACTGGTACATGGACTTTCTGTTCAAAACTGTTCATGGGGTTAGAATAAAGCGTGGTCATAGTACCAGACTTACTCTCAGCAACTAGGTTGGCCACACATGAGTCCTGAACATCCACCTCCCATTTCACCTCTGAAAGGGTACAGGTCTCTGGAATAGTTTCCTTGGTACTGACAGAATTCACCACTGAAACATTACTAGAACTGGACTCAGCACAGGTAGGATAGATAACACCATCCACTGCATCTGACTGTTTACTCAAAATAGTAAACACAGCACAGGTAAGGTAGATAACATCATCCACTACATCTGGCTGGCCTCTTAAAATAACTGATTCTGGTAACAAAATGGAATCAACAACCTTCCCAACAACATAGTTCATAGCCACATCATGACCACATCATGACATCATAACATTCACACCTAGGATGGGCAATTGTTTACTAACACCAACAGTGCACAAGCCTGGGAAAATGGTGGATCATAGTTTAATGTCTATCAGAGGTACGGTTTAATAACCTGCAATGCTGTGAAGCACTAAAGACTTCCCAATATCTCTCTTTGCAACATTAGAAAGTACTCTATCTAAAATTAAAGTTTGGAAAGCACCCGTGTCTCGTAAAAGAACCACTGGCTTCTATTTACCATTATTACACAATAATTCCCCAGTATATTTATATGGGTTATTAGTTGCTATTCACTTGGGATCTACAGTAACATGTTTATTATATCTACTCTGCACACTTCTACTAAATATGAGACCCGTAGGTCTTAACTCTGGGTGTTTCTGAAATCAGGAAGTTATGACATGACCTTTTCTCATGCAATGAAAGCAAAATCTACTGTCAGTGGTTGACCCTGCCA